ACGGGTCTGCAGTCTGCTCGGTGTGTCGAGGGGTTCCGGGAGCGCTGGGGAGGGGCTGGGGGGAAACTGGGGGGGTCACTGGAGGGGTTTGAAGGGTGATTAGGGTGTCTGGGGGGGCTTTTGGGGGTCTGGGAGGGCCAGAGTGGTCTGGGCAACGATGGAGTTGGGGGGGATGAAGGGGTCTGGGGGGTCCCGGGGGAATCTCCCCGAGACCTCTCGGCACGCCTCAGTTCCCCCCTGAGATTCCCCCGGGACCCCCCAGACCCCTTCATCCCCCCCAACTCCATCGTTGCCCAGACCACTCTGGCCCTCCCAGACCCCCAAAAGCCCCCCCAGACACCCTAATCACCCTTCAAACCCCTCCAGTGACCCCCCCAGTTTCCCCCCAGCCCCTCCCCAGCGCTCCCGGAACCCCTCGACACACCGAGCAGACTGCAGACCCGTGCCACCCCCCGCCCGGGGGTCCTGGCGAAGTTGAGGTGCAGCCGCAGGACGTGCCCGCCCGGGAGCCGCAGCCGCAGCGGGCGGTGCCGGGGGACAAAGCGGAGCCGGGAGCCCCCCCCGACACCCAGCGCGTCCAGGGGGGGCCCGGGGGGCAGCAGCCACCGCCGCTGCTGCACCCACCACAGCGCGTGGTCCGACCAGTCCCGGGCCTCCCCTGGAGGAAAGGGCGTCAGGGGAGGCTGTGGGGGGGTATGATAGGGCTGGGAGGGGGCGGCGGGGTGCCATGGCAGGGGCATGGCCGTGAGGGACTGGAGGAGGGTTAGAGGGTGCTAAAGGGGGCTATGGGAGGTCCTGCTGTACCCCCAAACCACATCGGAGGGGCTACAGGGAGCCTGTAATGGGGCAATGGGGGGTATGTAGGGCTCTAATGGGGGCTGTCAGAGGCTGTTGGGAGCTATGGGGGGCTATGAGGATGCTATAGGAGGCTGTGAGGAACTGGCGTGGAGTTAGGGGTTACTAAGTAGGAGTTATGGGGGAGTTGTGGGGTGCTGTGAGGTCTATAGGGGTCCCACTGTACCCCCAAACCACATCGGGGGGGCTCAGGAGGCCATGGGTCCCGGGGGGAGCCATCCTTGGAGCTATTTATAGCCCATGGGTCCCTTATCGCCCTGGCCAGGGAGGACCTGGGGAGGGGAACTGGGAAGTAGGGGGATGCTGGGACCCCTCGATAAGGGCTCAGTATCCCCAGGCTGGATCCTCCCCCAACATCCTCTCTCAACCACATGGCACTTCGGGGGGGCTGGATGCCCCTACAACCCTTTGCTATGGGGCCTGGAGCTGGGGGGCCTGGACACCAGGGTCCAGCCTCCTGCCACTGTGGGGCACAACTGGGGGTCAGGGCTGTGGATCCCAGCTGTGGGTCTGGCCAGAGGTCAGGGCTACAGGTCACTCACCAATGGTCTCCACGATGAGGCGCATGAGGCCACCAATGTGCAGGTCCCCGGTGACACGGAGGGCAAGGATGCGGAGAGCTGCTGGGGGGCTGGGCTGCCCCACAGCATCTCCCTGCCCCGTGGCATCTCCCTGCCCCATGGCACCTCCCTCCTCCACCTCCACCTGCAGCTCGAAGGAGCCGTCAATGTCCTCCCCACTCGCCGTCTTCAGCCCTGCCATCACTCCGTCCCTTCCCAATGGTGTCCAGAATGTTCCTGCCCCACGTCCCGCCCCACGTCCCATCCCACTTCCTTCTCCACAGCACCCTGGACACCCGGGTTCACCCCACCACTGCCACCCACCACAGAGGAAGTCGTGGCGGGGAGGAGCCACAGGGTCCAGACGTTGGACTGTCCCCCCCGCCATGACACCCACCAGGGCCACAGGGCGAGGACATTGGGGTCTCTCATCTGGGGATATCCCTGTCCTATCCCCCCACACCCCATCCCTCTACTATCCCACCAGCTGGGACAGGACCTGGGAGCCCCCCCCCAAGTCACCCTCATTGCACTCCCAGCACACGGTGTTCTCATGTGATGGGGGTCTGGTGCTTCCTGGGGTCAGTCCACAGGATCCCTGGGAAGGGGACAGCTGGCAGAACTAGGGATGCTGCCCCCTCTCCCCCTCACCCCCCCCAATCACGGGCTGGGGCTGCTGAGGCCAAAGGATTTTATTGTTGGGGGGATCAGTGTGGCCCCAGCACATCCCCTTTGGGGCGGTTTCCAGTGTCCCCTTGAGGGGAGATGAGGCCAGGGGAGTGTCCCAGGGGGATGGGGCAGGGGAGTCCAGTGTCACATGGAGGGGACATGGAGGGACACGTGTAGGGTCCAGTGTCACAATGGGGGGACATGGGAGGGAGTCACAGCTTCAGTTTCACAGTTAGTGGGGGCAGATGGGGGGGCTGTGAGTGTGCAAAGGGTGAGTGTGCAAAGGGTGGGTGTGCAAGGGGGGGTGAGCGTGTGTGGGATGGACACCATCGGCCTGCCGTGGGCGCCATTGGCTCGTGCCAGGCGAGTGTGAGCGAGGTGTGAGCGTGCAGGAGCCTGCAGGATCGGTGTTCGTGGCAGGATCGGTGTTCATGGCAGGATCGGTGTTCATGGCAGGATCGGTGTGCGCGGCAGGATCGGTGTGTGTGGCAGGATCGGTGTGTGTGGCAGGATCGGTGTTCGTGGCAGGATCGGTGTTCGTGGCAGGATCAGTGTGTGTGGCAGGATCGGTGTGTGCGGAAGGATCGGTGTGTGCGGCAGGATCGGTGTGCGTGGCTATGAGCGTGTGTGGCACGGGGAGGGTGTGCACAGGACATGAGCGTGCACGGCGTGTTCATGGCACGTGACTGCAGTCAGTGTGCACAGGTGAGTGTGCCCAGGGTGGGAGTGTGCCCACAGTGAGTGTGCCCACAGCGAGTGGGCCCAGGGTGTGTGCACAACACGTGTGCAGCGTGTTCATGGTGAGTGCCCAGGTGAGTGTGCCCGAGGTGACTGTGCCCACCTGACCACGCCATGTGCAGGTGCCCCCATGCCAGGGGGCTGCCGCAGTCCTGGAGTCCTGTGGAGTCCCACAGATGTCAGAGGGTCTCCCCGGGGGGGTCTCAAGGGGTGTTGGGGGATGTCAGGGGATCCCCGGAGAGGTCAGGGGGTCCCCCCCGGGGGCTGTTGGGGGGTGTCAGGGGACTTGGGGGGTCCCCGGGGGGGTGCAGCAGCCGCGTGACCCGGCTGAGCCGCGCGTTCGCGTCCTCCTGGCCCTGCTGCAGCCGCCGGGTGCTGCGACGGAGCCCCCGGAGCTCAGCCTGGAGCCGCTGCTGCACTTCGTGGCCCTGCCCCACACAGAGCCACGGGTCAGCCCCCTGCCCCACACAGACCCATAGATCAACCGCCTCAGCGTTCCCCCAGTTCTCTCCCAGTGTCCCCCCAGTGACTCCCAGTACTCCCCATTTCTCCTCCAGTGTTCCCAACTGCCCCCAGTCCCTTCAGCAGTGTCCCTCTGGTGCCCCCCAGTGCCCCCCAGTTCCCATCCAGCCCCACCAGTGCCTCCCAGTGGCCTCCCAGTGTGCCCCCCAGTGCCCCCCACCTCCTGCAGACCCTCCTGCAGCCGCTTCAGCGCCGCCTCCAGTTGCGCCACCTTCTCTGAGAGGCTTCGGGACCTGGGGAGGGCACGAGGGGGTGTTGGACCCTGAGGGGACCCCCTCCACCCCCCCTACTCCTCCCAGCCTCCCCCTTCATACTCATCCTCAGGGACCACCGGGCTCAGGCTCTGCTGGACCCCGATGCTGGGGGGCTCTCGGAGCTGATGCCCTGGCGAGAGAAGTGGGGAAATGTAAGACCCCTACATGGGGAGCCCCGAGACCTCCCCCTTCCTGACCCTCCCCATTCCCACAACCACTGAGATCCCCCCCTTCCCGATCCTTCCCATTCCCACAACCCCCAGTCCCCCAACTCCCTCAGCTCCCCACAGTCCCTCAGGATCCCCTCACCCCCTTGACCCCCCATCCCCACAGAACGTCCTCAACCTCCCCATCCCCTCCATCTGCACAAGGCCCGCCCGACCCCCCAAGCCTCCCCCCTGGTACCCCTAGGCCCCCTCACCCTCTCAGCCCCCCACCCCCAAGCTCTCCCAGATCTGCCTCCCATCCAAAACACCCCTCAACCCCCAAGAAACAGCTTCCAGGACCCCTCAGCCCCCCAAAACCCCCCTCTCCCCTCCCAGGCAATGACCTCCAGGATCCTCTCAGCCCTCCCAAACCCCCCCCAAAGGCCCCCAGGCCCCCTCACCCCCCCGGGCGATGGCCTCCAGGACCCCACTGCAGGCCGTGGCCAGGCGGGCGATGAGCTCCCACTCCTCCTCCTGGGGCTCCCCAGACCCCGACAGCACTGGCGGGGGAGGCAACAGTGGGGGACACCCAGGGAACTGGAGGGGACCCCTCCAGGGGGTGTGGGACAACCCCACAGGACACTCCCCTAGCACAGGGGGCATAGAACAGGGACATCCCCCATGGGATGGGGACACCCAGGGGACAGGGACACCCAAGTGGTGGGGGGACGACCCCCAGGGGACCCCCCTCCACGGGATAGGGCATACCTCAGGGGACACCTATATGGACAGGGGACACCCCGAGGATGAGGGGAGACACCCCAGGGGATGGGGACACCCTCAGGTGAAGGAGACCTGGGCTGGGGACACCTCAAGGAGATGGGGGGCCCCCAGGGGGCAGGGGTCACCCCCGTAGGATGTGGGACATGGGATATGGGATGGGGGACACTCCCCTGCAGTGGGACAGGGACACCCCCAGGAGAATAGGATGGGGAATGGAGGGGAGACACAGAAGGGGACATGAGGTGAAACAGGGGAGGGACATGGGGAACACAGGGGCTCCGGGCCACTCACGCCTGCCCAGGGAGTGCTGCAGCGAGGGGCCCGGGGGGGGGCTGGGCTCGGGGGGGGCCGCAGGACCACCAGCATCCAGAGAGGGACCCTGAGGACAGGGGGGGTCAGCAGGGGCACAGAGAGACTGGGGGAGACACACAGGGACACACATGGGGGGACGGGGGACATGGTAGGGTCAGCAGCCTCATAGGAGCATGGGGGGACAGGGCGGGACACAGGGGGACAAAGGGACTCACCGGGTCACCGGACTGGGGGGGGCTGTGGTGCGGCAGCAACAGGTCAGGCGTGGGGTCAGCCAGGGGGGGCCTGGGGGGCCATAGGAGTGAGGGTTAGAAGGGTTCATGGGAGGGCATGGGATTCCTGGGGGATTTGGGGGGGTCCCAGGGGCTTGGGAGATGCGTTCCAAGGGTACTGGGGGATCCCAGAGGATTTGGGGGGTTTCCCATTTCCAGCGTAACTCACGGGCTGGGGGGGCATCCGGTCGGGCTCTTGAGGGTCCCTGGGCTGGGGGGGCCACCCCCAGGGGGAAAGGGGGTGCTCTCCTCGTCCAGTGCCAGCGAGCGCAGGAGCTGTAGGGTGTCGGGGTGCAGCCCCCCTGGGCCCACCTCATGATCCCCCCTGTCGCTGTCTCCCCCTGAGTCGCTGCTGGTGTCCCCGATATCCCCTCCAAGGTCCCCGATCCCGGGGTCCCCCCCTGTGCCCCGGCCCTGCTCCAGCGAGCGGGCGTAGAGCTCCAAGAAACTCCTGGGGGGTAAAGGAGAGGGGGACATGGTGGGGGAGAGTGAGGACACACCGAGGTGTCCAGGTCCCAGTTCCACTTGACCCCCATGTCCCCCCAATCCACTTGACCCCCATGTCCCCCCAAGATCCCCCGTGCCACCCAATTCCCCCCATTCC